TTGCTGCTTGTGATGCTGCTGCTTGTGATGCTGCTGCTGCTGCTGCTTGTGATGCTGCTGCTGCTGCTTGTGATGCTGCTGCTGCTGCTGTTAAGTGTCTCCTTGCTTCGCTCAAACTACCCAGACTCGGTACACTGCTGCTGCTGCTGCTGCTGCTGCTGCTGCTTGTGATGCTGCTGCTTGTGATGCTGCTGGTGCTGCTGCTGGTGCTGCTGCTGCTTGTGATGCTGCTGCTGCTGCTGCTGCTGGGGCTGCTGGTGCTGCTGGTGCTGCTGCTGCTTGTGATGCTGGTGCTGCTGCTGCTTGTGATGCTGCTGGTGCTGGTGCTGCTGCTGCTTGTGTTGCTGCTGGTGGTGGTGGTGGTGTTGGTGTTGCTGCTGCTGCTGCTGCTCGTTTTTTTGGTGGTGGTGTTGTTGTTGTTGCTGCTTTTGTTGCTGCTGCTGCTGGTGCTGCTGCTCGTGTTGCTGCTGGTGTTGATGCTTGGTTGCTGCTGCTGGTGTTGCTGCTGCTGCTGTTGTTGTGGTTGCGCGTGGTGTGCGCTAGGTGTACTTTGTAGCGTTTGCTGCAGATGCCACTGTTGCTGCTGCTGCTGTATTTGCTGCTGCTGCTGCATCTGCTGCTGCTGCTGCATCTGCTGCTGCTGCTGCTGCTGCTGCTGCAGTTCTTTCTAGCGGTGCTTGAGATATGCCTTACGCTGCTGCTGTTGCTGCTGCGGCTTACCTGCTGCTACTGCTGCTGCTTCTGCTTCTGTTACTACTACTCATCTGCTGCTCCTGCTCCTGCTGCTGCTGCTGTTGTTGCTGCTGCTGCTGCTGCTGCTGCTGCTGCTTTTAGGTTGTTGTGCGATGGATTACCCTCTGCCGCCGGCTTTGCTGCTGGAGGAGGCCCTGAAGACGCAGCAAGACCCCCAGGATGCTGCTGCTGCTGCTGCTGCGCTGCTGCAGCAGCAGCCGCAGCCTTTGCCTCGGATGAAGATTTCCAAGTCCCCAACCAACTGCAGCAGCAGCAACAACAGCAGCAGCAACAGCAGCAGCAGCAGCAGCAGCAGCAGCAGCAGCAGAGAGACAGGCGTAGACTCTGTGCTTTCTCTGTCTCTGACTCAACGCCGCCGCTTTCTCTTTAATATGCTCGCAAACTTCTGCATAGAGGCAAACGCAGGCAAGCAGCAGCAGCAGCAGCAGCAGCAGCAGCAGCAGCAGGAGCAGCAGCAGCAGCAGTAGCAGTAGCAGTAGCAGCAGCAGCAGCAGCAGTAGCAGTAGCAGCAGCAGCAGCAGCAGTAGCAGCAGCAGCAGCAGTAGCAGCAGCAGTAGCAGCAGCAGCAGCAGCA